AATAGTCTTGTACAAGTCTGTTAGTGGACCTATGCACTCATTTCTCTTAGATAAATGTAGAACTGGAATTGGTGGGTCATAAGGTATAAATGTATATTTAGCTTTAGTAGATACTGCTGTACCGTTTTCCAAGTGATTACAGTGGTTTACACTCCTGCTAACAAGGTATGAGAGTTTCAGTCTCTCCACATCCTCATCAACACTTGCTTTTGTCAGTTTTAAATTATAGCCTTTCTGGTGTGGTTTTCATTATAGGGTCTCATTTAGGTTTTAAGTTGTGTTTTCCTTATGAGTGAGGATGTTAAGCACTTTTCATGTGCTTGTTGACAGGTTGGATACCCTCTCTGTCTTTTGCTCATTTGTAAATTGGATTGTCTGTCTTGTTGTCTAGGAATTTTTGATGTCTTCTGGATATGAGTCCTTTCAGATACATGTATTGAGAATATCTTCTTCAGGTTTCCCTTGCCTCTTTACTCTTTTAATGCATCTTTGATGAACAGAAATTCTTAGCTAATGAAATCCAAAATGCTTTCAGTCTATTTCAAGATGTGTTTTCTTCTAAAGGTTTTATTCCCTTATATTATGTTTAAGTCTGTGACCATCTGACTAGATTTGAATCATCTGATACAATTTGATCAAATTTGATTGTTGTGTAAGGTATGAGGTAGGTGTCAAGTTATTATTCATTTTTATTTATGAGTATCCAATAAATATTAGCACCATTTATTGAAAAGATTTTCATTTCATGCCTAGATTCATGTCACCTTTGTTGTAAATCAGGTAACTATGTATGGATCTATTTTTGTGTTCTGTGTTCTCTTTAGTTGTTCTATTTATCTGTCTGCTCTTGTACCAGTTTCTCACTGTCTTAATTACTGCAGTTTTATAATATATCTTGGTATCTGTTAATGTGAATCTAACCTTTCTTCTTTAAGACGTGTTGACTATTCTGAGTTCTGCATTTCCATTAAATTTTAGAATCAGATTGTACATTTCCATGTATCTAGCTGGGATTTTAATAGGGATTGCATTGAAGCTCTGGATTAATTTGGGGTGAATTGACATCTTCATATTGAATCTTCTAAACATTTATTTATTGGGAGCTTTGATTTCTCTCAGCATTTTGTAGTTTTCTTAGCAGAGGTCTTCAACATATTTGTTAGGTTTATTTTAAGGTACTTTTATTAATGTAATTTAAAATGTTTTTCTTTTCTGTTTTTTGCTACTAATACATAGAAGAATAATTCGGGGAGGATATTGAGCTTTTATCTGGCAACGTTGCTAAATTCACTTGTTATTTCCAGTTATAGATTATTTGGGGTTTTTCTATTGTATAAACATTCAAATGATGACCATTTTATT